TCCCCTTCTATAAACTATATCCTCTCCAATAATCTCTGAATATACAATTCATATCTAGACCGGAGTTTTGCTGCTTCTGAAAGGGACCTTTTCATTCTCTCCTTGCACACACACACTCACTTGCACACATACATCCCTCCAACAAAGCTGCTGCTGTAATCAGAGCTGCTTCCTCCATCCTGTGAAGAGGAATGAGCACTCAGTAATTACAGGAATGAAGGTGGCTGCTTGTTTTGATGGCTAACATTTATGCGAGCTGTGGCGTGACCGAGGGATCCTTCCACGTCACGACTGGCAGAGTCACGTGGTCTGCCCCCGGTCAGAGGCTGTGCTCTTCTCGGCTCCACCAGGTGAGAGTCCTCACTCGTTTCCCTTCATTAAAACCTCCTCAGCCCAGCAATGTACCGTCTGGGAGGGCAATTGGAAGGGGGAGATCACACGTGCTGAAACCATAAGTTAAAGACAGTGGAACTCCAGTGCAAAACAAAGCAACTGCCCTAACCCCGCAGTGATCAAACAACTGCCTTAGTTTGTGAGCAAGACAGAGACTTATTGTAAGTTTGAGCCAATATACATTTAGGAAGTCTATTTGTTGCAGCTCAAAGCAATACTCCAGCAAATGAGAAAATAGTAGGTTCTGTTAAGTATTTGTTGAGTCAGTTGCAAGCAATACCAAATGGACAGTACTTACTGGCATAGTGGGGAACATTGGGGGCTGTATGGAAAAGTTTGTGTATTCCATGTCCACAGTAGCTTCTAACAACTGAAAACCCATTTGCTTGGGCATGTTTCTGAATAATGTTTCCCAATTCTCTGTATCGAATGCCCGGTTTCACTGAAAGTAAAAGAGAAGAGTCATGACAAGAAGGAATAATGACTAACACTTATTAGGCGATGACTATTTCGTGCCTGGAGCCTTTTAAAGGTGGTAGAAACCAAGGTACCAAGAGGTCATAGAGCTAGTAAGTGGCAGTGATTAAGAGGAGAGTAAAGGGCACAAGAAGACGGGAATATCCAAAAAGGAACCAACTTGACATGTTCTGAGTTGCAGGCTAGTCAACTTCAGAAACAACGGCGTAACCTCCCCCAGCCACCTTTATCCCCCTAAAAGCAGGCCGCAAACCATCCGCAGTTGTTTCCTGGGCAGATGGATCCGGAAAGGTCCCTTTCACTTACAAACTCCTTGTCCTATTCAGACATTTATGACTTTTACATTCCAATACAAACCAAAGTCAGAGCAATGCCTCTCCTGGCTGTCAATACTCTTCAAGCACTGAGACCCAAAGCAAGGTGCTGCTAGGCTCCTGGGGCACCTGGCCATGCTTTTCAAACTCCTGCAGTCTCCTGCTCCTATATCCTATTTCCAACTTCAAGTTCAGGTACAATGTTCTCTACAATCAAATGCCTTTTACTAGTTCAAGGAATCACAAGTCGAAATTTTTACCTGCTCTTACTCATGTGTTCTAGCTTGATCTGTACTGGGGGCAAGGGAGTGATCTTAAGAAATCAGAAACCACAATGACTTTCTAATTATTTCCTTTATTCCCATACAAGCACTCCTACCAGTCCGGTTGATGAGGGGGAACGCAAAAATGCAATCCACATCACACAGCCTATTGTAAAGAAAAATCCCTGTTAAATGACAAAGATAAGGGTGGGGATTTGGCCCCAGGGGGACATGTGCTGACACCTGGAGACATTTTTGGCTATATGCAGTGGAGAGAGGTCGGTGACGCCGCTCAACAGGCTACAATGCACCAGGTGGGCCCTTACAACAAAACATTATCAGGCTAAGGGTGTCATTAATGCAGAGGTTGAGACAAACAATAGAAAATAAGGGCAAAAATGACATGCATAATGGTATTTATAGCATCTTCCAAAAGCCAAGCAACTTTTGTTTTTTCCTGGCTGTTAGGAAGATTGTGGTAGTTTCGTGAAAAGTTTGATTCCTGTATCTTTGTAAAACAGTCTAATTGTCTGATTCATTCATTCACTTCAGACAGAAGGAAAATGAGATAAACATATTAAACGTGAAATCCTAATAATTATTCTAAAACTGAAGTTTCCATAGTGAAAGGAAAAAAATCATTAAAATCTGTCATAATTCAAGAGGGCTTCAAAAGGCTTGTGTGAAAATTCCATCATACCAAGAACTTTTTGAAGCTCTGTTGTAAAAACAAGAATATTAATTTTTAAATAATCCAGAATGAATAACAAGAAAAATCTCACCTATAGATACGTGAAATATCACATTTTTTCCCATTGCTCCAACTTATTAAATTAGAGAAACTTTTATTATCTCCCATTCATGTTAGAGAATGGACTGAAAACAAAAGATAAGGCATTCGTGTTACCACCGATTGTTATATTTGCCTCAGCATTCTGTTGTGTTCAATACTTTTTGGACAATGCATTATGATTAGGGGTTTGTTTTTTTAATGGAATAAGAGAGATAATGCTATAGTTTTCCACTGAAAAGTTGTAGCTTAAGCAAAGCAGCCTGGATGAGTTGAACGCCACAGAAAGTCAACCAGACAAAGTCTACAGCAATACTGTCACCTACCCTCAAAAACTGTATTCTTTACAGTAACAAAAACAAGCCTAGTAGGTGAACAGTTACAGAAAATGTGAGGCCATGAATATACAGCCATTAAAACAATTAAATAGGCTCTATGTATATATATGTATGTGTTTAAAAGGCAAAATTGCCAAATATTACTAATACTATGATGTCATTTAAAACCAATTACACGTGTGTGTGTGTTGTGTCTAAATGAATTGGAGGAAAAAATCTAAATGTAGATACCAATGGAGAGAAAAAGACAGAAAAAGAGGGAGACAAATGAAAGACCATTCCTTTATAATAGTCACTTTTGCTCTCATTCTTTAATAATAAAAATGTAAAACTTGATTATTTGAAAAAGCAAAAAAGTAGAAATAAAACAGCACTCAGAAACTATTTATACACTCTTTCCCGTTTGCCAGTCAATGGAAAGGAAGCTCACTCAAAGAAGAGCCAAAGGATGCTAAGGGACCTGGTTCATCTACATCAAAACATTGCTAAACCATCCTGAAACCCATTACAACTAGACATCAGGTTAACTCAGCAGGTCAGCGCGAAGCTGGCAGCACAGGAATGCACACTGCAGTGAGGAGGCACGCAGAGGGCAGCTCCAGTGGGCAGCTGGCATGAAGGCTAACCTGCATCGATGGCTTGCATCAGGCACTCATACGTGGTCTGGACTAACTTCCGTGCTCCCTCATCCACATCTCCAACGAAAAAGGTCTCATTCAGGTCCCCGTGGTAACCATTGCGATAAAGAGTGATGTCCACTGGAAAAGAATGT